TGTCGACGAACAAAGGGCACGATGAAAAGGATATTTGATATTTGAAAAATAGAGCGTTTTTTTTTTTTTTTAACAAGAAAGCTTGTTGAACTTTTAATAAAAAAAAAAAAAAAGAAAAGAAAGAAAAGAAGAAACGGTTCCTCTATTAATCGTTCGAAAACGTGACCGTTCCTCGTAGCGATCGTCCACGATTTCTTCTTAACCACGATTGCAAAATACATCCATCCAATTTTCCATTGGGTATACTCGATACGTAGCCGGGAACGTACTCTCCATAATGCACTTTGTTTGATGTCGATACGTTCAATGGTTGCCGAGATATAGGAGCCGATAGCGTGCAAGATGAATGGTGGATTCAAGTTCTAGGGAAACGCCGTGACCTACTTTCCCTCCCTCCCTCCCTCTCTCCCTCCCTGTCTCTCTCTCTCTCTCACTCTCTCTAGAAATTGTTTACGCACGTCTGGTGGTAGTAGTGGCAAAAAGCGTTAAATCAACTAGTGACCGCTGCGCAGGTAGGCGAGTTGGGGTGGGTCAGTTGAGCGAGAGAGGTGGCGAGAGCGCGAGCGAGACAGGGATATCGAATTATTAAAAATTATAGTGGGCGATATTCACGACGATATTTCAAGAAAGCGAGCCACGTATCGAGATGAAACGAAAACTGGTTCAAGAATAAGGGTTCCCCGATAATTCGCTGATTTCGCGAACTAATTGCTCGTGGCGTTTCGGAGGCTACGATAATTCGATGTTTCGTCGATTCTTAATAAAACGTTTTAAGGTTAGTTAATTTTTCACCTGCTATTCCGGGATGGATGTATTCTGGATTGTGCGTTATATAATACTGATAAAGAATTTTTTCCTTCTCTTTATAAATAAAAAGGAAGATTTAAAATGTTGAAAATCGAAAGATAGAAGTTTTGAACAAATTGTTGATGAATATTTGATAGGCAGTCGTTTTAAAATTTTAAAAGCTTGCGTAGCTTTCCATAATTCACCTCATAACCCGGTTAATATACGTAACGAATGTATACCCGTTCGGACGTGAAAATTTCACGTAGAAGAAAATAAGTAATAAATCTATTTTAAACTCGTCAAACGTATTTTTAATCAAAAACGATGGTAACGAAACGTTTTTCAATCTACCATCTCCGGGAATATATATATATATATTTATTTTTCAGATTCGGATTACTGTTCCCTGGTGAAAGAAATCCCACCCTATCACGAGGGTAGGAGGTTGCTGGATCTAATGGACATGGCTGTCTTAGACTTTCTCATGGGGAACATGGATAGACACCATTACGAGACGTTCAAGATTTTCGGCAACAACACGTTTCCCCTGCACTTGGATCACGGCAGAGGATTTGGCAGACCTTTCCACGACGAGATCTCCATCCTTGCCCCCATCTTGCAGTGTTGCATGATCAGGCAAACGACTCTGACCACTCTTCTAAAGTAAGTTCTCTTCCTACAATAATTCCCCTCTCCTGATCGATAAAAATTTCTACCAAACTTTGCATCTTCCTCGAAAAATCCATCGATCTATTTCGATTCCCACCACTGCCGTCCGCTCGTAAGCCAAGCCAAACCCTTCCATCCTCCTATTAATTTCCAACGATCTATCGCACAGATAGATGGATAGACACACACATACAGAGAGAAAGAGAAGATCCGTCGTGGTATCGAGGCACGGTCCTGTCGCGAACAGGATCGATCCGGGTCGAATTTACAATTCAGAGGAGGAGGAGGAGGAGGAGGGGCCTCTGTCCGGATTTCGAAAAAAAAAGAGGGGCGGGGAGGGGAAACGATGGGAAAAGTTTACGAGCCGTGGCCCCCGGGGCTGGATAAGGCGGATTTTGGAGTGAAACGTTTTACCAGAATTGGCCGTCGCCAGCATTGCTCGTGAATCTCCGCTTTGATGCGGATTCACGACGAGGGCGACGGGCTTTTTACGGCCGCGATAAATTCGAGAGCCGAGAGCGGATTTCGCCGACACGCGTTTCGATACACACACACACACGGACGACGCGTGCACCGTGGCCGATACCACGATACCACGACGGGACGATTATCGATTTTGTTCGACACGTTGCTTAAGTTGTCGTGGAGCGAGCTGAGTCGAAATAAAAAAAAAAAAAAAGAACCGGGTTCGTCCTTCCTTTCCGGGGCGCCGTCCACACCTATCCACACCTGTTCTCTGATAAAACTTGAACATTTCGTAGATTGAATTCCACGGTGGCGTGGCGAGTAATCTCAGGATTCTATGAATTCTCCTCCCCTATGGTTGCATTTTTCCGATTCGATTTATCTTTCTCTGTGTGTATGTATATATATATATGTATATATATGTGTGTATTTTCGCGGGCCGATTGAAATTCATCCTTACTCGCCTGTGAAATTCTCGTCGAAACGTTGCTGCCAAAATTCTTGCCAATTTTATTCTTTTCGTTTGATAAAATAAAATTGTAGAAGAGCGTGGAAAGAGATGCTTCCTCCGAGATTGTAACAAATCGTTTCGTTGCGATTTATCATCTTTCCATCGCGTTCCTGCGAAGGAATTGAAATTGATCCCCGATGCGATGTCAGCCTAAAATTACATCCAACTCGTATTCAATTTGAAACTATTTTTTCAGCAATAAAATTGTAGAAATGTCTTTGAAAAAATAGCGAATTGAAATTTTTTTCACCGATAAAATTGTAGAAATACCTTCGAAAAAAGTAACAAATTTTTAATTCGAAATCGATTCTTATAATGCACCCGAAATTATATATATCCAATCTGTAGAATTTGAAAAAAATTGTTTCAGCAATGTAATAAACCTAATAATTTATCGTGTAATAATATAAATGTTTCAGTTTCTTGGAAAATTTTATAATCGCGCGGAATTTAAATGGGAATGATTGGCGAAGAAATAAACGTGTATCTAATTTCAAATTAATCGGAAGGCTTATTATCGTGGCTGCCTCGAAGAGGTATCTTGAATGAAATCGTGTTGGACGGTTGGAAGGCGCATTGAAGAAGCCCACACGTTGTCCATTAAACCTAATATTATAGGATAATTGCATCCTGTGGATACTTCATTGCAGCTACTTCATCGTGTCAGTCATGGTTACTTACTTCTCTTTCATTATGACTTCGTTTTCATTCAATTCTCGTTCGGCTGATCCAATCTTCGTATGGAAAGGACCATGTAAGGCCATACCTTTTTTTCTTCTTTCTTTTTTTTTTTTTTTTTCCTTTCATTAAACCCGATTATTCGTGATCGTTAGAAGGGGAAAAAAATCAGAAAAAAATTCGAAAGATGATATATTCTTGATTAGATAAATATTAAAAGGATCATAAAAGATGGTCGAGGATCATGGATATCCTGGAAAACCATAATCGTTCAAATGGTATGAAAGCTGTTCGATCAAGTCTTTATCCTCCTCTCGACAGAGGAGAGCAACGTGCTTTTCTACGTTCCCCTGTGACATCGAGAAGTAGCCAGCCAGAAAAATACTTTTATCCGCGTGCTTCTTCGAGAATGTGTCCTTAAATATACACACAAGTCTGCATATACTGGGTGGCTCCGTTAAGAAGCCATTACATATATATATATATATATCAATCGATATAACGTTCAAATGTTTTCTTTATCCACATTTATTTGAAACTTAGAAAACAAATTGTCGGCAAATTTTCTTCTTATATTCTTTTATCGCCACTCGATTCCTTTGCACACAAAAGAATTTATCGATCCGGTGAGAAATAAACAAAGAAATATACAAAATTATTATAATAAATTTTCCTCTTTGAAATATTTTCTAAATTTCTTCTCTTACTTTTCTTTCTTTCTTTCTTTTGTCACCATCGAAATCGTTCCATCTAAATTGTCAAAATTAAAACGCTACCTGCCATGGTAACACGATCGTGACAAAATATCGTAAAGTTATTTTTCGAATTCGAGATCCTTCTCAAATATCCTCTGTTTCAAAGGCGCGAAAGTCAAACGGATCACCCTGTACACGCTATAAATACTATCCGCGACCCGTCTGCTCGAGTCGATACTTTATTCATTGCCTGTTCCGCAAGAAAGACCCGGATCCTACATCATCGAGCCACGTCTCGAAATCTCGAAGGATCCGTTCGACCAGTGTGGAAAATTTCGAATGAACTGGGAGAAGAGAGAGAGAGAGAGAGAGAGAGAAATATTGTAATTTTTCCTCCAAGAGAAAAGAGGGGGCGAGCTCCGTGACGAGCTCCGTGAGGTGATAGATACTAAGATACGTGTCTTACCTCTCGAATCAAACTTCTAATTACGAGCATTTGCATTTTTATTGAAAAATTTCTGTCGCCTCGCGCGCTCTCCCTGCCTCGGGTGATCAATGCGTCAAGAGGAGGGATGGAGGACGGCCGTAGACGGAGAAAGAGGATCACGTTTTTAATCTTTCGAGTTCCGACGACTTCTGTCCATTTGCATGTTTATTAAAAACGATCGAATTACTTTGATTCGGGTGAATATTGAAAGAAACGGATCGGCCAAATTTTTCGTTTTCATCGAGAAGAGCTTGAATTTGAATTTTCAGTGTTGGAATTCCCTCCTCCCCCTTCTTTCACGGGGGAGAAAGAATCTTAGGGTTTTATTTTAAGCTTGTTTCGGAGAGTCGAGAGACGTCCCATAAGGGTTTTCAAATTTACCCTCGTTCTCGTAACAATTTATCCATGACGAGTGGCTCATATTGATATTAAAAAAAACGGGGGAGAGGAGGATGACGTAAATAAATTTTTATATCACTGTTTCTTCTCTTTTCTTCTCTTTTCCTTTCTTTTTCCTTATTTTTTTTTTTGTTCCTTTTTCTTTTTCTTCTTTTAGATTTCACAACGGACCAGTCCCACTGAGCGAGGCACTGCGAAAAAGCATGGCCAAGGACCCAGTGGCCCCCGTTCTCTGGGAACCCCATCTGGCGGCTCTCGACAGGAGGGTGCGCGTGATTCTTCAAGCGATCAGAGACTGCGTGAATCGAGAGGATTCGAGCCAAATCGTCCACGAGAAAACGGAGGATACCGGATCCTAGCCGTTTCGTTCGATTTCCTAGTGCGAATTAAAGATTCTGATCGTTGATGAATAAATATATATAATATATATATATATAAGGAAACGAAGAGAAAGAAAAAAAAGTGAGATTTTTAACTGATGATGACGACGATGATGATGATGATGGATGTAGTTTATTGTAAAAAACGAAAAAGAACGTGTAAAAATATGCGTGTGTAAAATATCGATGTTGAACACTGATAACAGGGACAAAGATAAGAGATATATATACATATATTTTATCGACGACACTTTCTTTTTAAGATTTCTTTTTTCTCGAATATTCGTTAATCGTTGTTTATATATTATATATATATATATATATATAAAACAAGTCTATTTTATTCTTCTTTTTTTGTTTTTATCACAAAGAAACTTGTACAAAGAGATTGTACATAGCGTATTGTATCATAATTAAGAGAAGAATATTAAGATCAAAACCATTTGGAACGCCTGCTTTCCATGTGTATAAAAGGTATAAATATAAAATCGATAAAGTCGCTTTTCAGGGCTGGATACTTCAACGATAACTGCGTTTCGTCGTTGAAAGTAACGAGTGCAATGTTATCTGATCGAGTATTTTCAGAATAGCTCAGGAAATATCGCATAGATCGTTCATCAACCCGATTAATTAAACCTCGTCGCGTGGCGATCTATCGGCCCACGATTTTTCTGAGCCACGATTCCTCGAGATAACACAACGCGCTCGTCGACGGCCAGAGTTTTTTTACCCAGAGGAATCGAGTTTCCAGCCGTGGAATTATTATACGTTAACCGCGTGCGAGTTGGAATGCAATTCATGTGAAGAAGGCTATGCGTGTGCGTGTCTTTTTTAATGCGTGTGCTTTTTCGTACGCGTGAATGAATTTTTCGAGGTGCACCTGTACTCGTAAGTGTGCTTTTTTTTTTTTTTGGAGAGGAGAAGGCAAGGAGGAAAAGAAAAGAAACTTTGTTGAACAAGTCTATCGATGTATTTTTTTCTTTTTTCTTTTCTACCGAAATTCTCGCTTTTATCCCTTCCTTATCGTCCCTATCCCCTTCTTCGCAGGGGATTATTTTGAAAAGAATTATTAAATTAGACGAAGTTTCGATTTTTCTTTCTTTTTTTTTTTTTTTAAATACTCGATGATCGACTCGATTTTTCATCCCTCGGCCATTCCAAGTTTCGCGTAATTCTGCTTATCAAATTTTCTTTCCCTTTCCTAGCTTCGTTCGGACAAAGTAAAGAGGTGGATAATAAAAAGTTTTCCAGAATTAATTTCGCACAATTTAATATTGTAATTTTTGCCCCAAAGTTTTGCCCCAACTTCTTGGCACAAGATCTTAAAATATCGTGTTGAACTTGCCGATCAAACTCTCTCTCTCTCTCTCCCTCCCTCCCCACTTTTCCTTCCGTCATCTTGCCAACTATTCCAAGAAGTACAGAACTCTAAGCGGGGAAACATAAAATTCGAGTACCTTTTCTATTCATCTTCTATTCGCTCGTGATAATGAGATCGTTCAAATATCGTGGATATTTTGAAAAAAAATTAGAAGTAATTTTTCCCCCTCGATAATTTTCCAGCCAATTAAGCCATCGAATTAAATCGAATCGTGTATAATTTGCCAATATTAAGAGACATTGAAAATGGAAATAAGGCGCGATATCGACTGAAAAATCAATTTTTTCGGGGGGTTTCATTAAACGAATCTAAAAGATTCAGCGAGTCTTTTAATTACACCGCGTAATAATTTAAGAGTTTCCAGGCTATCCCAAAGAGGCGAGTTTCATTATTAATCATCCATCCTTTTTTTCCTCCGTTTCGATCCTCTATCGAATCTCTTTTCCCAAAACTTCCTCACCAACGTGGACTCTCGCTCTAATTTTATTTCACGAGAAACGAGACGAGACGAGACGAAACGTTGGAAAAGAAGAAAAAGAAAAGTAAATCGTAGAAATAAGTAGAAAATTCATAACGTTTAATTTCAGAGAGAGAGAAAAAACTCATTGATGCAATTTTTCGAGAGCGCGATTAAAAAAGTTGAGAATCAACGAAATTTCCCCATTTCGAACGAATATCGACGCGCTTCAATCGAAATTTCAATCGTGGAGAAATCTTGGAATCTGGACTTCCAAGACTATCAAATTTTTCGAATCGTTGTTTCTTCTCTCAGAAAATTGCCGATACACGTACGTTCCTTCGAAATGAGAATAGTCCACGAACTTTATCCACGGACCCTATTCCGCGAAACTTGGGCGAAAGTTTTCACGCGGCCAAGGTAAACGAGGAATTTTCACTCGGGATCGATAAAAGCTCGCCAAACTGTGCGGCATCCATTCGAAAACTTTCCATTCTTCCATTCTTAATCAACCCGCCATTTACGCCCAAGAATTATTAGATAATCACGCCGCAAACTTTAAATTCTCCCCTCCCATTGAGAATCACGGAATGCGCAAACGACGAAATTGTTCGAAAGTTGAGGATAGGAGAAATCCTGTTGCGTGAAAATTCGTAGGATTGAATTAATTTAACGAGATCGAGCGAGTGTCTTAAATCGTTTCCCCGAAAAATTCGAATTTGATCGGAAAATAAATCGCCTATTTTCAATCTTCTCGAGATGTAATTCGTAAATCGTTTCGTTTATCGAATTTTGGGGAGGAGAAGAAGACTGCATCAGCGGGATTAGAATCGGAAAAACGATGGATCGAGCGGGCAAAGGAGTGGATTCCAATCAATCTTGGTAGTCGTCTTAAGCAGCTTTGGCAACTGGTTCCTGTAACCGACAGGAGCGTAACGCGATCTCAATCCCCCTTTGCAAGACGCGGAACCCCTTGCCACCGATCCAGATGAAGGAGGGGGCGGTGGTGGTGGTGGTGGATTGGCAAGGATATATCCTGTTAATTACGCAATCTCGGCTTTGCCTATGACGTTAAACGTCCTGGCCAGAACCAGTCTGTTTCCTGACAGCTCGCAATTTCCCATCTAGACGAATTTCGAGGAATTTGCACCACTTCGCCATAAGCTTATTGCTTATCCAGTTTAACAATAACAGTTGAAACGGTTGGAAATTATCGCGAGATGTCGTCTCGAGTCGAACGAACGCCAAGAGGGCGAAGCTTTTCGCTCCCAAGATTTCGACTATCCTCCTCTCTGCCAATGAAATCGTTCTCCAGATTCTTGGAAAACGGGATCAACGGGATGGATGGATGGATGCGCTCAAGATTTCCTCGATTCTCGAAAAGTTTTCTCAGCTCGACGCGTGAATTGGCGGTGAAAACCTTGGTTTAATCGCAGAGGAAGATCGAAATGATAACGTTTCGAAGGAGAGGGTTTGGAGGAAATCATGCGTGTTTCGAATTTCGAATCGAAGTCGAGGTCTCCGGCTCGACGGCTGATCATCGGCCGACTTTATCCACTTGAAACTTTCACTTACTTCGCCGCCCAACTTTCACAGAGAGAGAGTCAACAGGACTTATTTACGGGCCGGAACTTCGAATATTGGGTGGAAACTTTGTGGAATAGTTTATCGAAAAAATGGCGAATAATTTAATGGAAAGGAAAGGTTTTCAGAGTGTTTGGCGGATCGATCGATCGATCAAATCGGATCGAAAGCTGCCTCGGGTGGAAAAATTTCCAAGGAATGGAATGCGCTTGTAAAGAGGAACATTTTCCTTCGAGCGCTCTCGAACTTTTCCTTCTCTTGGGATTGATTTTAGACCATTTAGGAATAAATAATACGAGTTATATATAAATAAATATAAAGTGAAAAAAGTTGAACGAAACATTTTATTATTTCGATATTTATATATATATATGTGTGTGTGTGTGTGTAATAATGATAATCTTCTTTCGAAAGAACAAGTTGAAAAGTTGAAAATTACCATTGAAAGTGGTTATATCTACATATATTGGTAAGGCAACTTGGAAGCATAAAATGAAATGGTTGTTAGTTCTCTCCGAGAGAGCAAGTTTTCCTCTTTTTTGGCGAAATAAAAATCTATATCGGAGGGAGAGGGATGGGGGTGATTGCACGAAGGAAGAAAGCAGAAAGTTGCTCGACCAACATTTCTTCCACCGGAGGAAGAAAGTTGAGAATGTCGTCGAAGATCACAAAGGGACGAACATTAAGGGTTGATTTATGGGGAGAGGCGAAAAACTCACGGTCCAATGCGCTCTGATAAACATTATCCACGTTTCCCTTCGATTCTTTCTTCTTCTTCTTCTTCTTTTTCTTCGACTGCAACGTGTCGTCCTTTTGAGAATTCAATTTATAAAAATGTTTCGAAAGATCTTAAATCTTTGGATATTAAATATCATTTCGTTCGATCCGCTATGTAATACGAAGTTCATAGCAGTTTTTTCTTTTCTTTCTTTCTTTTTTTTTTTTTTCTCTTTTGAAACATCATTGCGACTCGAGCAACGATAACCATTTCAAAAAACTGTATATTTGAAAGATTCTTTCATATTAGAAGATTATAAGCGGTCGCATGCAGCGTAACACGAGGTTTGAAGGGCGTAGTTTCCACAAGAATGTCGAACATTTCGATGGAATGCATTCTAATGCGTCGTTTGCATAATCAGAAAGGATTCACAGAAGCTAGAGGATGTTTCTTTTCGCTCGTCGAGCAGCTTTGTCGTTCAAATGGCCGCATTCTCATGTTAAATCATCGCGAAGAGGATGCCTGTGCACGCTGTTCTTTTCTATTTTTAATGAGATCACAGTGATGAAATTATGTAATGCGCCAAAAATTCTCGATACCAAAGACGATAAATGGAAAATGTCTCTTAAAAATTTCGTAGGTCAGTATGAGCAGAAATTTTTTTCTATTTTTTTTAGATACTTAAAATAAAAATTTGTTTTTCTTTCTTTAAAAATGTGTAAAATAAATAATTCGTCAATTTTCATTTATCTATTCTAATTCTATGATATATCGTATCCAAAAGTTGGACGGGATAAATTCTATTAAGATTTTCAATCAATAGATTGGACAACGAAGACAAAAAAATCAACGACTGTATTGTAACTATCTCGTTTGAGTATAAATATATAGAAATGTGTAAGGGATAAACGTAGACAAGGAAAATAAATAGCGAGAGAAGGACAGAGATAGGATAAAAATTGTGGAATCAGCGCCATCTCCAGAGTGCCGCAAAAGAAACTCATGTGGAAAGGACAGAAAATAGGAAGAGAAGGACAGAGATAATATAGGAATTAACCACTAGCGCCATCTTTCAGGTTTTAAAGATACTTCTTCAAAAGTAGGATAAGTCAGAACAAGAATTGCGAATTGGCGCCATCTCTTGAATATTAAAGAAAATATGTTCTTTTTTTTTTCAGGAATACTCAAGAGATGGCGCACAAATACAATTCTTAACCTATCTCTATCCTTTTTCCACCATTTTCTGTCCTTTTTACGCGAGTTTCGTTTGCGGCACTCTGGAGATGGCGCTGATTCCACAATTTTTACTCTATCTCTGTCCTTTTCTCACTATTTACTTTCCTTGTCTATATTTACTTTATAAATTCATGCGTTTAAAAACCGTGACGATTTCTTTATTCGAATAACTTTATTTATTCGCTTCAAATTTATTAATTAAATATTTATTAATCATTAATTATTAATTATAAATATATTTATTAATTATTACATATATATATATATATATATATACACATAAGATATTTATATAGGATAATTTTATTCTATAGGTAAAATGGCCTTGCGGATAAGATGGTTCTATCTCGTAAAAGCTATAAAATGCTTCTGATTTTCAATTATATTTGATAATATTTTATATTGCATATAAAATACGTTAACTGTAGTTTTTGTTCGTTTCTAATTAATATGATATATGTAATTTTTGTAATTTATGTAATTGCTATATATAATTATATTTTTTATATAAGTTTTTATAATTTGTACATATCATACATATATTTTTCATATACATTTTATAATATAGAGATTA